AAAACGTAAAAACGTAAAACGTAAAACGTAAACGTAAAGTAACGTAACGTAAGTAACGTAAGTAACGTAAGTAACGTAGACGTAGACGTAGACGAGAGAGAGAGAGAGAGAGAGAGAGAGAGAGAGAGAGAGAGAGAGAGAGGACTACTAACCTTGGGGTGTTCTCTGAAACGGTGGGAGCAGGAGGAGGGGTATAAAACTCCGAGTTTTTTATGAAAGAAAAGGCCTCAGAGAAAGGAGGTAAAGAAGGAGAAGAGGAAGAGGGGCGAAAAAGTGACGGGGGAGGTTGAGGTTTTGAAGCTTCGAAGACCTCCTGGTAAGATGGGATCTTTATGAAGCTTCTCTGCTGCTCTTCATTTTCTCTCTCTTGCATCCTCTTCTCTCTCCTCGCTGCTCCGTGATTTTCACTCTCCGCACTCCTACTCTATTCTCTCTTTCCTAACTGCCTCTAGTGCGGGCGGGTCATCTAGGTCTGTTTGGGTACCTGGATTAGATTGCCCTGGGGATAGGCTTATTCTGGAATTGGTTCATCTTCGAATTCGTCTGTCCTGGGATAAGGTTGTTTGCTGTTTGGATAGCACTTGATAAGAAACATGGATATGCCTAGCACCTGATAAGAAACATGGATATGCCTGTCCACTGTTTGGATTGCCTGGAATAAATGAATCCATGGAAATTTAGTTGCAATTGTTGTATTATTACTCTTTAATTAATTTTATAATAATTAACTCCACAAATTCATTCAAAACTTGAAAATATTATTTCTAAGTATGATGAAATCCTTATTTTTTTATTGTTCCTTCCATTGTATCCTATATAATATATATATATATAGGAAGATGCTAGGGTGAGCCCACTAGCTCAAAGGAAAAAATGAGCTCAACGGCCCAGATTGAATCTGAGTCAATCTGACGATCACGGATGTCTGGTAGTGTTTGAATTTTAATTTTTTTCAACAAATCCAAATCACTTGAAATTTGAAGCGTATGAACATAAAAAATAAGTGAAGCTTCGAAAAATATCAAAAAAATATTTTACATGAAATAAATTGACCAAAATACCCCCGAAAAGTTTCGTGGGTATTTTGATCAATTTGTTTTTTAGAAATAATATTATTCTTATTTTATTAGGTGCGGCTTGATGAGAAGAACACACGTCTAAAATTTCAAGTGATTTGAATATGTAGAAAAAAATTAAAATTCAAACATTACCGAACATCTGTGATCGTCAGATCGACCCAGATTCAATCTAGGCCGTTGGGCTCATTTTTTCCTATGAGTTAGTGGACTCACCTAAGCTTTTTCCTATATATATATATATCTTACATATCAAATATTCAATTAACATCGATGTTTTGGGAAATCATGAAGTTATATACTTTGCTATTTTGAAACTTAGAATTAAATTATCTCTAATTCTTGTAGGGCAAACAATGTAGCTTGTGAAAAAAAAAAGAAAAAGAAGTAAGTTTATTCCAATATCTATTAGATGAAATATTGAACTTTCTACTTGTAATTTTTTGTTTAATTGCAAAACGTCCATCACAAAACACATGATTGAATTTTTAAAGGATACATGTTTTAATCAATTTTCCCCAAAATCAACCAGTTTGATTGGTGATGACAAGGACCTATTGGCCATGAGTATGTTCTCGGGCTTCAAGTCTGTATGAACAATGCCCATATCATGGCAATAGATCACAACTTCCATAAGATGCTTAAATAGAATGGCAGCCTCAGGTTCATAGTACAAAGCTTCATCACCAAATGCACATAATCCTCTTCTTCATATACAGCTTTGAGGGCCACCACATTTGGGTGGCCAGACAATTTGACCAACCTATCTTTGGCTATGGACTTACAAGCCAGGGTCCCACTAGTTAGCTTATCCTTAAAGGCTTTGATAAGGCCAAATTGGCCCCAACCTAATTGCTCACCTAACACACATTGATCCTCTAATTTAAAGGTCTTCTTTGCATCAAGAATGGATTTGATAAGAAAAGGTGTCTTATAATAGTTGCAAAAAGGGATTGATGAGCTATTGGTGCTCTTGATAATAGCCATTTAAAGACTTGAAGAGCTCAATACCCCTAATTGGACTTCTTTTCAGCAAAAATTGCAGCTTCTTCTGATTAGTGTTTCTGGGTTTTGAAGGAATCCCCAAATGCATATGTTTTATAGAGCTTGATGCATCATCATAACAGTCTACAAGAAGAAAAGGGCCACCTAAAAGGTTTTGAACCTGAAAGTCAAATTTTGTAAACATCAGATATGCAAATAGGATAGAAACCAAGTGAAGAGGTAAAGAGGAGTTCAGTCGATTAGCAGTAGCACCAATTATCAGAATTCAGAAACAATGAGATCAAAACATAAACTAAACTGAAACCGTGTAATAAGTTCAAAACTATGAAAGTATTTCTGAACATATCAACCCTTACAATCGCTTAATATATCCAATATTAAAGAAACATAGTTTTAAATTAGTTATCAATCTGATCTTGGAAAACATAGACATTAAAGATGATGGCGTAGTTGAGGAAAAGAATTTTCATGTACCCTCAATTCAATAAATGAGAAGCATTTCTCCAAAACTTTACACAGAAATTCTCATTGCAACTGACACACCACCTCATCTTGAAATTTTACCAGAGAAAAACAGTTTTTACAGTGAAAATGATCAGAAAACAAAAGTTCGTCAAAGAAACAGCAATTTAACAAATAAAAATGGATACTACTACTAATTACACCAAAATTACACATGAATCACATATTCTAAAAACAGAAAATTAGTGAGCTTGATCATTTCATTTGAAAAATAAATGCAAGTAAATTTCAGGTGAAAAGGAGAGAGTTCAGTGAATACCTCTCATTTCTCTGAGATCGAAGAACTGCACAAATTTGACTGGGCTTGAGGCTCCTCAAGAGATTCCTCATTGGCCTTCGAGGTTGGGGTTCCAGGAACTCCTCCTATATGTAAGCCTATAAGTTTCTCTCACTAGTGGGTTCCTAAACTCCTCTTCATATCTTCGTTTTCAATATCGGGGTTCTGAATTCTACAATCATCTACTACTCTGCAAGTTTGTCGAACAAGAGAGAGCTTGATTTCATCTTTACCTGTGGCAACCTCATCAATCTTTTCTTGGTTATTATCTTTGCTTTGATTAAACAGATCTAAAACCCCAAAACCTTCGTCTCCTTCTTCTGAGCTCTCCCCTTCTGATTCTCGCTTACCATGCAAAACTTCTTGACAAAAAAAAAAGTTCTGGATTTAGGGCTTCTCTAGTGATTTAGGGCTTACATGACTCAGGGCAATTTGGCGCGCACTACACAATCCACGTCATATGCGCTACCCAAACAGTGAATTCGAATTGAAAACCTGGATAGGCTTTATCCTGGAGAGATCAATCCAGGTACCCAAACGACCGGCTTGTTTAGTTACGAGAACAAGACGTTCCAGATAATGCATTGCATGGTATATTGTATTAAAAAATTGGAGTCGATTTTTTTTTTTTGTTTGATATGTAGATTGAAGTAATAGTTGAACTTCTTCATTTTTTATACACTAGTGAACATAGATGAAATAAGCACACGAGAGTGTGAGTGTCGGGCTTGGCAGGCATTGGGCCTGCCATGTAAGCAAGCATGTAAAGCTCTTCAGATGGTTAAGAGAGATTTATATGAATATTGTGATAACTACTTCACAATTGCAAAGTACAAAGAAAGTCATGCCATACCATTACGGCCAGTCTCATACTTTGATATATCTTTACAAGGAGAGTCATCTTCTTATGAGCCAAAGATACTACCTCCACACACGAAATGTCCTCCTGGGCATCCTAGGAAGAAACGCATTGAGAAATAAGGCCTCTTCACTGTAGCAAGTGTGGCCAGCATCGACATAATAGAGCTACATGCGAGGTAGCTCTTTCATGGGAGGTCAGTATAATTTGTTGCTGAATTTTGCACTCGTTACTCATATTATGCATGTAGCTTGTACATGAAGCAAAGGTACTTAGTAATTTTGCACTCATTAATCACTTCATTATTTTTAAATTGAAAAAAAATCTGTATGCACCATTGACATTGTTCTGCCCTTCTCAAATACCGGTTTTTTGTTGTTTGTTATGCTGCTATTGTGAACCCAAAATTAGCATCAAACAACAATAGTTTTCTGCTGATTATAGTGGCCTTTTGTTGCTGAAGTGTAGTGCAACGCTCTTATAAGTTGAGGGGCTGTTTGGATAACTTGAAATGTATTATCTGTGAAATATATTATTGGCGTAATACATTACTGGGTAATATATTACCTGCAAATTAGTTGTTACTGTTTGGGTAGTATTTAGATGCAACCTGGAAAATACATTGTTATTGTGTGGCAATGTCTGAAAGAAAAATAGGAAATGCATTACCAACATTTTACCAACACGTGCCTATAAACTATCATTTCTTTCTTTTTTGTCACAAAATTCCACTAAAATGCAGAATTATCATTTTTTTCTTTTTTGTCATAGAATTTCACTAAAATACGGAATTAAAATCATCGTCACACCATTCCAAAAAGATTTCTAATAATAACATCATCACCATTCCAAAAAGATTTTTTAATAATAACTTGTACCATTTTACAGTCATCATGACACTATTTCATACTTATTTTACATGCTTTCGGCAGTTACATGGAATCACATGTCTTCTAACATGACATTAGTTTCAGCATGATAAGTCATTGGAACAATATGATTGGAATAACATGATTTTATTATGATAAGCATTATTTTTATTTCTTTTTTATAGAAGTCTTTCAAATGTCTCTCTATATAATTTAAAATAAACAATAAATTTATGATACTAAATTCAAAATCTCTATGGTACGAGTTAAAAAATAGGAAGAAGTTTGATTAGTAAACTAGAAGGTTTGGTAATTGGAGTATAAAATTTTGAGGTATTGGAGGAGACTAAAGATTTAGAGGAGACTAAAGATTTATGTTATTTCAATTGAGATTTTAGTAATATCGTATGAGGATTATGTTGTGTGAAATATTTTATTATGATTGTGTTGTGTAATTTATCATTAATTACTAATTTTTATTTTTATATGACAACTGTTGCCTTCAGATGAGGGGACGAGCTTTTGTATTATGATTGTGTTGTATAATTTATGATTGATTACTAATTTTTACTTTTATTATTTTTGTTTTTATATGACTGCTGATACCTTCAGATGAGGGAACGAGCTTAAAATCGGAGGGATCACCTATGCCTAGTATATGGAATACAAGTTTAGTAATAATAAGAGTAGAGAGGAAGAAGTAGTTAAGTTTGACGACTAAGAAATATAAAAAAAAACGCATTTTCGATATCTTGGGTCGATAATCCAGGAAAATAGAGAGATTGATGAAGATGTTGCACAAAGAATCATAACTGGGTGAGCAAAGTGGAGATGTACAGCCGGTATTATATGTGATCCCCACATACCAATGAAGTTGGAGGGTAAGTGGTATGAGATAGATATGAGACTAGCATTGCTCTATGAGGTGGTATGTTGGACGGTCAAAAATAATATACCCATAGAATGAGTATAGCAGAGATGCGGATGTTGAGATGGATAAATGACAAGCTAAGAAAGGATAAAATTCGAAAAGAATACATTTGGGAAATTTTAAGTGTAGATGGGAGAGAGTAGACTTAAGTGGGCTAAAAGGCTCAAAAAAAGCAAGGGCTATGCCTAAAAAGACATTATTAGAAGTTGTGAGGAAAAGTATGGGACTTATGACCACATTGATGGTATGACTTTTAATAGAGCAGATCAGGATTTGTATAGCCGACCGTAATTAGTTGGGAAGAAGTTTTGACGATGATGATTTGTGGGATTTTATTTTATTTTATTTTAGCTTGACCACCAAAATAAACTTAATAAATATCGGGATTTGAAAATGAGCATAATCAGTAAAAAAAAAAAACAAAAACAAAAATCATACAAAAAAAATCTCTATAGATTTTGGGTTTCACCAGTTTGATCTTAATTAGAAAAAAACAATCCAATCAGTTCTAAAATTTCTAGTTGAAGATTTACATTTACCTACTTGAGCCCCTAAAAATAAAATAAAATTATAACTCACTCTAGCTCTTTAGGGCTTGCCCTTGAGAGTTCTATTTTTTCCCAGCGCTGCCACTTCACAAAATTACGCTGCCGGGGCAGGCAAAGTCGGGGACTTTCCCACGTTTTCGCGGTTATCAAACGCACAAAAAAAAAGCCAAATATATTTCGGAACTCAGGTGGTAAAAAAATGAAGAAATGCATACTCGACCATCTCACCAATGGCTCGAGGTTTCTCGAGCTTTCTTTCACTTCCCTTAATGGTGGAACTCTTTCGCTTTTACCTATTGAGCGAGTACCCGTGCAGCTCTTACCTAGCCTTTAGGGCTAGTTAAGCCTCCTGTAAATCAGCTTTACCTTTAAAACGAGGTTTTGGGCTTTCTTCCTCTCCCATTAATGGTGGTTCTTTATTTTTTTTTGGTAATAATGGTGGTTCTTGTTCATTTTGCTGAAAATGATTCTTGCTAAACCTAAACCATGTACATTGGGGACCTTTAAATCCAGGTTATCTGATCAATGATTATAAGCTCTCAGGCCTTTTTCAGCTTTCGTTAATGGCTTCTAGGGTTCATTTTGTGAAATTAATGAGTATTTCATGTGTGTGCTTCCCTTAGGATTAGTTAGGCCTGGTTCTTATGTTGCTTTTTCCATTTGAAGGCAGGATATCGGACATAAGATCTGAATCATGTTGAAGTTAAGGGCTTTTCGCCTCGCCCTACAAATGACAAGATCATGCGAATTCAGACGCACCCTACATATCCATGGATTGTGACTGCGGATGCATCGGATCATGTGGTTGTCTGGAATTGGAAGCATCGCCAGGTAATTTTCAAAATTTCTTCCCTTCCCCTTCTCTGCAATATATTGATCTCATTGTAGTCTTTGTTGTTTCTCATTTATCTTTGTGTTGCCATTGTTTTTTGTGTCTCACATTTGCTATTGAATTTTCAGATTATTTATGAGCTTAAAGCTGGGGTGTGGATGAGAGGCGTTTGGTGGGGGCAAAGCTTGAGAAGCTTGCTGAGGGCGAGACTGGTATGCGTCTTGCCCTTTTGAACTGTCTTTAACTTTTCTTCTCTTTTTTGATTTGTGTTTTTGAGTATTTCTCCCTTTGTTTGTTTTCTTGCAGTGGATCAGGGTTTTCATTTTTGTTAGTTTTGAGGTTTTATGCATGCAAAATGCTTCAAATATTGTGAATCATGGCTAGTTTTTTGGATCATATGATGAAAATGATCGAATGGCTCATTCTCAATATTTTGGTTTAGTTCTTTAAGGCTGTTAAGTATGATAATTTATGTGAATATAACCCAAAAGCAAGCCTATCAATGTGAAATTCATGTGTATAGAGATTTTTCTGTGAATAAACGTGTAAATAGCATAATAGAATGAGGAAACTGAAGTTCTGAATTACATAACTACTAATTTGGAATTTAAGAGGAATATTCCTTGTAAATTATTATTTATTATTATTTTTTTGGAAAAAGATGCTCCATAGACTGTTAATTGTGAGAAGGCATTATGTGTATGTCTATACCTTACATTTTGATATTCTCAGTAGCATGTCTTATCTCCTCACATTATAGGCTGTGAAATTTCTTTGAACTTTTTTTTGTAATCAATCTATACAAACTTGCATTTGTTACATGATACATTGAATCTCAACATGATTACTTTACGTGCAAGTTTTGTTCACCTTTTATTGAGCAAACCATCAATGGCATTAATATCAGTTAACTCGTAGTCTTCCTTTTTGCTTGATTGCTAGACTCAAAAGCAAAACCCATTGAAGCCATGCGGTGAGGGAGGTAATGGTTCTATAAGTGCTACTTTCTTTCTCTCTTTTGACTTTTATCTAATTCAAATGCATTTGAGCTTTGGTCTTTTCCAAGACACACCAAGTTATGAAGTGGTCTTTTACATTTGGTTTCCAAACAATGAAGTGTTAAGCAGGTGAGCTTTTATGATAACGATGTTCGTTTTTTGCAACTTTGGCGCAACCGTTCTGCAGCTGCCGAGGCACCTTCTGCAACAAATCAGCTCTCCTCTGCCTTCAGTTCTCCAGTGTCTTCAATAAAGGGTAGACATTTTCTTGTTGTTTGTTGTGAGAATAAAGCCATATTTCTCGACTTGGTTACAATGCGTGGCCCTGATGTACCCAAGCAAGACCTTGACAACAAATCCCTTATCTGGCAAGTCCTTCTAGCTTCATACGTGATGGGGTTTGGTGTTTTACTTTTTCGTAAGTGACTTAATATGATTTGAACTGTGATTACATTCATAAATGAATGCATCTTAAGTTGCTATGTTTAATGATTATACAATGGCAATGAGAACATAAGCATTTGTGTACAACATGGATCACGAGCAATTGAAGTGCCGTCTTCATTGCTATTATTATTTTCTTAATAATGACTAATTTTATTTCTACAAGTATGAGATTACAAAGTTGCTGTGGACACAACATATACACTTTACACAATTTTCATCCTCAAGTCTTTGAGGCTGAGTAACCTTCTCTAGCTAAAGACCATCAGAGAGTTTCTCCTCCTGAGTATGTACAAACTCTATAATTTGTATCATGATCTTTACATCAAGCAAAAGCTTACTCTGGAAAACATCAACCACCAAGATTGGTTGGCTCTGATTTTAGCCCAAGTTATGATAATCTCCTTCCATCACTATAGTTTTCCATTCACCTATCAAAATTTCACATTGGTAAGAAGTGTTCTTGCCTCACTTCGCTCACATTGCATATTCCCATTGGACCACTTATGTTTAGATTTGTATCATTTGTGGTCAATCGAAAACCTATGCCGATACTCTCAGGGCCTGGATTGTCCTTAGAGATTCATACTTTTGAAAGAATGTATCACTAGGAAAATTATTTATATTTTTTTTTGGAGAACTTGGGGTCAAGATGTGAGGTGAGATATATTGACAAAGTCAGTGATGTAATTCATGAATTTTTTGTGAAGCCCACGGCTCATAGGCACTACGTACATGAAACATGATGGTAATAATGCCAATGAACTAGCTTCTGAAAATATGCTGGTTTTAAACATTAAACTTAACCCTCTACCTCAATATCTTTGGTAGCATGAGGAGGAGACGTCGTCTTCCTCCTCTTCCACCTCCTTTTCCTGGACGTCCTTCTCATCCGGCCCTCGCTCATCCTTCACCTTCTACACCAACTCCCTTTAGGCTTCACTCTTCTTGGTCCCCGACCGCTCCTTCTTTCTGGAATAGGATATGCAAACTTTACCCTAAACCTCTCTGCGTCCCACACAAGGCTTCTCCTAAGGGTGAGACAATCTTTAACTCTTGGCTAACCACAAAGAGTGTTACCGACTACTGTTTCTGGGCCTCCTGTATCCGTCGCGCTTGTTGTCGCACGCTCCTCACCCTCCCTCCCTCTTGCAGGCTCTTCGGTTTGCCCTAAGGAGCCTCCCTCTTCTCTCTGCAGCCAGCCCCCGCTCGGTCCCTTCTTCATCTCCATCCCTTTTGAAGAGTCATCCTCGCTTAAGGCAAAGTTCCAGTCTTTTTAAGTAGGCTCGTTTCGCCCTTCTTGAGATGATTTTAGAGGAGTTGAGAAATGAGCACAGAAAATTTGGGAGGATACCAATATTTCGGCTCGACTCCTCTAGCGGAGACTATCTTTTCACCTTTTCATCACAAGCTTATGCCTGCCAGGTTTTGCAGAACTCCAAATCTACGTTTTTCAAAGGGGCATCTTTGCGTCTTCATGCTTGGTCCCCCAGGAAGGATCTTTCAGAAGGCAAAAAGTTTGGCTTACGCTACACCATGTGCCACTCCATGCTTGGTCTCCTGCAACTTTTGGGAGAATAGCAGAAACTTGTGGAAAGTTGATCTCGATTTGATGGAAATCTCTGAAAACTCTACCGCTAGTCTCCATCCTGCACCTGGTGGAGGTCCTGGAACCTAAGAGTATTCCACCTTGTGTGTGGATAGAAGTGGATAACCTGTTCTATCTGATATCTCTGGCCTGGTCAGAGGTTTCTCCCCCCTCTGTTAACCTAGTAAATAGCTGTCCGCACTCGTTGCCAGAGATCGCTTCACCCCTTTCTTGGTTCGTCGTTGCTAGGAAATCAGGCAAAGCCAAGCGGCGCCACCGGCGGAATCTCCATGACCATTTTCCTGGCAAGAGAAACAATCGGCCAAGCTTTCCGGCCGGTCACCAGTCTTCCCAGTGGACACCACGGGGCACCCTCCCAGCGCAATCTGGGGATGGTGGAGTCAGAGAGTCGGCGACGATCGCATGCGTGGGGTTCACCTTCTCTGAACCATTCTCAGAAGGCAGTGGGCTTGGCCACAACTGTCTGTTACCATCGAGTTCCCTGGCTTCCTCGATCCATCGACCTGGTAAGGAGGTAGTAGAGGACTTTGTTCTCCAAACTTCTCCTGGGCTGTCGGGTTCTGTAAAGGAGCCGTCTTCCTCAGTCGGGGCTGTGGTTTGGGCCTCGGTAGCTGATCCGTTTCACGTGGTGAGGTCCCCACTGGACGAAGGTACACATGCTGCCCTAAAGCCTATCTCTGTGGCCACGCGGCAGGTGCATCCTTCCCCATGTGTCCCAGGCTTTCATGAGGAGACAAATGCTACCTTTTCGCCGCCTTCCATAGCTTCAGAAGCAGCCTTTGTCCTCGTATGATGTTGTGCACTCTGCCCAAGAAATTATCTCGCCTCCGCCTCTGCCACATGGCCTCTCGCCGCAACCACGCCATGATGGTCCACCTAACGCCGTCCCTCCCTCTACCTTTTCCTCCCATGATGTTCCACCTAGGCCTTCCAGTGAACCTACCCCCGCTTAGAGCTCACCGATCTCCACGGGCCAGGAGCTGCAAGCTTCCATCCTATCCAGTTCTCCGTGCAGGTCCTCTCTGTGCCTTCCAGAGGATGCCTACAACAAAGGCGAGAGAGCTTACCCTTGTCACCTTGGGTCCCCCTCTATTTTATCACTGACTTTCCTACCCTTTCACTTCTTTTCCCATAGAGAGCCCCCTCTGTTTGCTTCTTTTCTGCCAATGGAAGTGGACCCTTGACGTCTTCCTTTCGGCATCATCACGGTACAGTCCCTTCTTCCATCTCCCCTTGACCCTTCTCACCTCTTTGAGCTTCTTGGCCCCTTTCTTCCTCAACCCTCTCTCCTTATCCCTCTCGGCAGGATAATGACGGTATTCTTCCCTTTTAAGTTCTTCCCTGCTTCGACTTTCAACCTTGGTCTCCAACCTTTTCCTTATCACTATTTACCATTCTACACCCCTCCTCCATCTCTGCCTGTCAACCCTTGCCCTTATGCCATTTCCAACTAGGCTCTTCCCCCTGTCACCTTCTGGACCCCTACCTAGTCCGAAGCCTCTACCGGGCACCCTCTTGGCTCACCACCTACTTCTGCTCCTTCCCAGGTTAACCCAATTGCTAAGTTCCCCACTGCACTGTCGCTTGATCTTAGCCGTAGTGAACCAGTGTCCTTGCCGTCTGTCTTGCATCCCCCTTGCCAGTCCTCCTACTCCACTGAAATTTTTGGGATTGTTCGTGATCCACTATCCCAAGCACCTTCTTCTTCTTTTTCGACAGAAGGCGATCTAGAGAGAGCCGGTGGGAAAGATAACACTTGCGAAGCTGACATGATGAAGGAGATCTACAGGGTAATGGGATTTGAACACCATGGACCCGAGGGCCCGGCACATCGGTTCTTGCAGGCAGATGCCCAAAGTAGGCTCAAGATGAATCTCAAAGGACATCAAGAACTGTGTAACCTCTTTTCTTTTAGTAATTATGACATAATTGCTACTGATGTCAAGCCTCCTCCCACCACTGCCCAAACCTCCCCCACTCCAAGGCGGTTGCCCAAGACTGCCCCCACCCCTGCTTCTCCCCATAACTTATAAAGATACTCTCTTGGAATATTAGAGGGTTGGGACAAAAGTCCAAAAGGGATTCGGTGAGAGACTTTTCTTTAAAACTCTCCCCATCGATCCTTGCCTTGACAGAGACAAAACAATAGGAGCCTACTCTGCAATCCATCCGCAGCGTGTGGGGCAGAAGGCCGTGTCAATGGGCTTCATTACCGGCGATAGGGGCTTCTGGCGGATTTGGGTAATTTGGAACCCAACTGAGTTTAATCTCCGCTCGTCTCACATAAGAGAATTCTCGGTCACTGTCCTTCTCTCCAGAACAACAGACAGTGCGCTGCTTAAATTCTCCGCCATTTATGGTCCAAACTCAGCTTCCCTTTGCCCTCGTCTCTGGTCTCAATTGGATCTGGTAGCAGCCTTACCACATCCTGCATGGTGTCTGGGTGGTGATTTCAATATCACTTGATGGTGTCATGAGAGAAACTTCAACACCAATATTTCCCAGGGAATGTTGGATTTCTCTGACTTCATCTCTCGACATGAACTTATAGACATTCCAATTCAAGGGATTGCCTTCACGTGATCCAATCACTCTGCTCAGCCCTCCCTGGCTAAACTTGATTGTTTCCTTTTGTCCCTGGGTTAGGAAGTTGCTTTTCCTGGTTCACATGCTCTTACCCTGCCTAAACCTACCTCGGATCATTGCCCCATTCTTCTTGATACACTAGTGATTTGTAGGGGGCCAAAACCTTTTCGGTTTGAATTGGCTTGGTTAGAAGAGCAGTCCCTTGTGACTCTCATCCCCAATTGGTGGAGTTCTGTCTCTTCCCAAGTCTCGGGTAGAGAGGGATTCAAGCTTCAAACCAAAATCCAGCTGCTTAAAAAGTCCTTAAAAAATTGGAGCCAGTCTCAGCCAAGGAATTATTCTCAGTTAAAATGCTCTTGGCTCAACTGTATCCAAGACCTTGATAAAATTGAGGAAGTTAGACCTCTCTCAGACTCTGAAGTATAGGTCCGAACACAATCCAAGCTGGAATACGTTTCTACACTCAAGAAAGAAGAGCGTTTTTGGTACCAGAGGTCCCGGGTCAAATGGTTAAAATCAAGGGACTAGAACACTGCCTTCTTTCATCGTATAGCCAATTGTAGAAGGAGAGAGAATCTGATATCCACAATTAAGGTGGATAACAATTTTCTTACCTAGCCAGATGATATCGAATATGCCATCCTAAATTTCTTCACGTCCCTTTATACTGCCCTTGTGGGACTTAGGCCAAGGATGACCACTTTGGATTTCCTTACTGTTCCTGATCATTGGTCCAACGAGTTGGAAAGTCCTTTTACAGTAGAGGAAATCTCAATCGCCCTTGACCAATTAGTTAAAGACAAAGCTCTGGGGCCAGATGGTTTTCCCATGGCCCCTTTAATTCTTTCCTGGGTACTTTCTTACCTAATCTCAGGAGCTTCTTTGAAGAATTCTATCATAGGGGGATCCTCAACAAAGCTATCAGTGCCACCTTTATAGCCCCTGTCCCCAAGAAAGATGGCGCTGAAGAGCTTAAGGACTTTTGTCCAATTAGCTTACTCAACTCTTCATACAAAATTTTGGCCAAGGTATTGGCTGCAAGACTCAAGCAAGCCCTTCCTTTTATCATCTCGCAGTCCCAATCAGCCTTCATCC